AAATATCATAATAAACAAAGCCTTTTTGTTCAAAAAATTAATAATAGGAATTGTCATATTGAAATATTTCAAAATGGAGGGTTGGTTGCAAATTATAGTGATATTTCACCAAACAAGGTTTGGAAGAAAGTAGGAATATTGAAAAATTATAGCGGAAAAATTTTTATTTGGGATTAATCATCAAGATACAATTGATGCATTGGAAAATTATGCGGAATGACCAATTTGTAATGTAATAGAGTGTGGTAATATTCAGATAATGACACAAGCATTCGAGCAAAATTTAAAACGGAAAATCGCTATCGCTGAAATTAACTGGTATCAATTTTTTGATAAATGGAAAAAACAACAAACAAGTATTATAGAGTTTACTACTTATCTTAAGCAAATATATCCACTAAATTATAAATTTTCTGATCGTGAATTGAGTTCTTGGCGAAGAATGATGAGAAATGTTGGTTGTACTAATATAATACCATATAAAAAAAATCTAAGGTTAGTTATTTGTCCTAAATCGTGTAATGATTACATTTTTAAAAACACAAAAGGATCTAATAAAATATTATTTTTACTTATATACTATTATACTTATATACTATGAATTTGCTGAATGTTACTTATAATCCACAAGATACAAAAACTGAAATTGAAAATAAGAAATTAGAAGAAAATATTGATTAGTCACAAGTGACTATTAATCAGTTCTGGAAAAGTTTTAACAAAGCAATTCAGATCAATAAACGAGGATTGGATGGAAAGTAGCGAATTCTATTTATAATTGCAGAGAATTTTGGGCATAATGAAATTCAACATGAATTGCAAGTAATATTTAATTTCAAATTATTTTCAAAAATTTGCTATTACATTCACGCATAATACTAATTTAAATATGTTACCTCTCTTAGATTTCAAATGATTTAGTTTGTGTTGCAAGAAAACATAGCTATATTAATGGTCCAGGATGTCCTGCAAAAAATAAGCCTACTGTGAAACGAAGTTATATACCTGAAATAAAAGATAGAGAATTTAAAAGCTTTTTTTCCGATAAAAATAATGTCAGCATGAGTTCTTATCGTATCAATCCAAAAACAAATTTACCACTATTATATCTGAAAGATAATAAAAAAGCCCTCTGGCAGAAATTTGAGGCAATTTATCCTGATGGAATAAAAAGAACATCCTTTATGACACGCTTGAAAAGTAGTCATTACGTATATAGACAAGATTTGGGTGGATTATATAATATTTGTAATGAATACTGCTATAAAGTATTTGATACGCTAATTAATCTGGTGCAATCAAATCAGGAATTACGTGTATTAATTTTAAAATAATTTTTGTTTTGAAAAAAATTTTATTATAAATAAATTACAAAAATTTTTTAATTACAAAATTTTAATTAAAGAATATACTAGTGAATGATCTTGAAAAATTATGCCATTATCTAAAAAGAGGCTTCGAAAATGAACTTACTGTAAATGAAGATGAGACAATATCACATGTGGATACAATTAACCACTGCTTACTATATGCATTCGAGAAATGCACTCAAGAACATAAAACTCGTTGTACTACATGTGATCAGCTATTCATACTTATCGAATAATTAAACATAATGCTACCAGAAAACTTTGATCTATAATTGAAGAATCACAAAATAAGCTTCATTATTTTTTGGCTCACCAGGTAAAAAAAGTTTATTTAAACAATCAATTTAAAGCAAAACTTTTAGAACTTGATAATAATGGTACAATTTTAGTATGTGACTATAAGATGAGAATCTTACCTTAATGCGCACGTAAAACAAAAGAAAATTTTTTTGGCAAACGCGAATGGACGCTCCACACTATTTTGGTTTTTACGAGATGTGATTCCACACAACTTGATGTGCAAGCTATTGATCACTGGTCTACAGACACTAAACAAGACGCCTGGTTCACGGCATCATCTTTTGATGCAGTTTTTGAAACACTAAATCCAAAACCAAAGTGGATCAAAATTTTTTCCGATAACGGCGGCCACTATCATAATTCAGAATTAATGACCATTATTTTAAATTGGAATCAATGGTATAATATTGATGTTCGTGAATGGCATTTTCTTGAACCCAGCGAGGCTAAAACTAGTGTTGACTCTCATCATGCACAGGTAAATCTGAATTTAATTCATAAACTAAAATTTTTTATTATTTTGAAATCTTGAGAACAGACTAGCTAATTATTTCTCTTAGGTAGCTTATGCTATCAAGTAATATATACGAGTTGGCTATAATTTAGATGGTGGTAAGAAAATTGAGGAGGCAATTAAAATTTTAGAAGAACTTCTGTTACTCGTCTGGATCCAAAACGTAATCACGTACCTGTAAAAACTATATCCGGTATTACAAAATTATTCTATTTTGAATGGCCAATCGAAGGTCCATTTGCTGGATATATTCAGGCTCAAATTTTACCGCATGTAGGTGCATGGTCATGTTATTCTCCAGCTGATGTTTCAAAATTAGTTGAAGAATCTTTACATAAACCAACTCCTGATATTTCTACTCATACCAAGCCGAACTCAGCATGGAATTTTCACATAGTTCAGAGTAGAGATACCATTATAGTTGACAAATATCCTATATTAGAAAAAAAAATAATAATAATAATTTTGTGAATACTTTATAGGTAATACGAATAAAAACACAATTAAAATAACAAATAATAGTCAAACCTATTCTAGAGGTATTTTATTTTTGTTATTTATTATTATGTAATATATTACAATTTTTATATATAATATTTTATTATTGTAGACGTAAATGATAAATTTCCATTAGAAAATGGGTGGGCGCTTAGAAGTAACTATAAATATGGTCAAAGAGGTAGTGGGAAGTGTATAACAGCAATAGTAAAGACTTACTTGGAAGGATTTTTTCTGGCGGGAAATGTGGATAAAGTAGATCGGATGTCTGCAAAAGTTATGGTAATGCAATTAAAACAATTAGCAGAAGATGGTGAAATTTCGATAGACGAAGTGCCAGAGATCAAAACAGTTGAAGGTTGGATAACAAGATATTCAGCATACTTGTGTAAAGAATCAGCGGAACAAAGGGTAATGGGTGAATCTCAGGATCAAAGTGGCCGGCTCAAAACTAATAAAAGATCTGGAAATAATAATATTGGTGCTAGTAGTAATAATAAGCGGCGAAAAATATAATAATTTTACGTTTAAAATTAATAAAATTTTGAAATTTACTATATTTTTGTTGAGCCAAATCTCAGCTTCCTTCATATAAAAATTTTTGTTGCGGAAATTAAAACATTTTATAATTAAATACATTAAAACTTCTAGATTCATTTTATCATTTCGCTAAATTTTTTTTTAGGTTACACTTTTTTTGTGCAACTTATATCATGTGATTACTGCACATTAAGAGATTATTATATGATGATCGCCCCAAAAATTTTATTATAAATCACTCCGATTGATCGGCGGACCAGCAATTAAAGCATTTATTTATAAAGATAGGTTGGTTGGTTGTTTGTATCGTGATATCAGGAATAATTTAATATACAACCATCTTTAATTTCAGTTAGAAACTCGTAGTAATACAATCAATTTTATAAAGCTTTCTTTAGATTTGCCCTTAATACTACAAATTCCAACACTTTTCAATTACATTTTTATTAATAGAAAAAAATTATATCTATAGTTTATTATTTTATTAAAAAAAGTAAAAACTTAAAACATTATATATTATGAAATGTTCATCATTCACGTAAATAAATAAATTTTTTTTGTTCTTCCAACTTTTAACTACAGAAAGATATATCTCACGCAAATATTCTAATGATTTTATTCAAAATATATTGAATATATTCTAAAAAAATAATTATTTTGCGAAGGATAACATACTGTATATAGGTATATTCGGAGTTGTTATATAGTTATTGCATATTTATAAAAACCAAACCAATAAATATTGAAACTGATATGATATAACAATAAAGTAAAACACTAGAATGAAATAAAAGCAAGAGATATATTTCAGATAGAGGTTTACTACTCGGCATAGAAATGTAATGATTTATATTTATACAATACATATTAGGACGTTGATGATGTAATCATGAAAATAAAATTAAATCTAATTTGAGTGATTATATTAGTTAAACACACTGGAAATAATTGACCAGACGAAATTTATTTAGATAGGAACAATATATTTATGAAATATGTCGAAAAAATTAATTTAAATATTTTAGTCGGTTGATTTTGATCTAACTTAGGTAAGAGAATTTCTTATTATTATAAGTTTTGCGTGTTAATATATTTGTTTGAGTGGGTAAGGCGAGTTAGATATTTTATATATATATATATTTCTATTAATCCACAAAAATTTAATATTTTGAAATAAAATAATTATGAAAATTAAATTATTGTTCGTCGGAAAAAAATTTATACTCCATACTAAACGAAGCATCACTTTAATTCGCGTACAAAAAAAAATAATAATATTGATCAACAAGTTGAACAATACCATGCAAATTCTTCTGTGCAAATGTCCACATAATATTCGATTAAATTTTTTTTATTTCATTTAGTAAAATGATTTAATTACTGTATCTGCTCAATTTTAAACCTAGATTTTAAATTATCTAAACCAAACATAATTATCTATAGAATATCCAGATCGTAAATTAAATGTGCAAATAACCTCTTTCGCAATGATATAGCGCATATGTTACTCTAGCTTTTAGCGTCCGCCAAAGTTAGCATTCTCAACCAATTTAGAGGACGCTCTCTGCCTCTGATTATGGCGACATAGAATTCCGAGAATGGATATATGCTTCTCTTGATAGAATTTTTAGAATTTTGATCACTCAACAAATTGGAGATTTACTCGCCATTAATGTGATGTTAATACATAAAAATGTGCTTTAAACAATTTACGTAATATCATACTTTCAAAAGTGCAGATGAATCAGTAAAGCAAATATACTATAGCACATCATTAAACTCCATGCCTTTGACTTGACTTGAATACAGTATGACCCAATCCAATATCGCTGTTATCCTTCAATGCTGTTTACCCGTTCTTTACGAACTATAATGATCTTGCTAGATACAAACCTTGAACTTCTTTCTAAAGGCAGTTTGAGATAGTTTCGAAGATGAGAAGATGTGAACCATAAACCTCATCGAGTTCAAATGACTGATGATTAAGCTCGGGTTTAAAAAAAATTTAACGACGCACAACCGCACGATCGAAAATTCAATTTATTGTACGATTTTATTTTTTTTTTTTTGAAGAATTATTTAGAGGCATATTTTGAACATTACACTACCTACTCAAAAGTTTAGGATCACCCAATTATATATAAATTACTAATGTTTTATTTAATAAAATTTTAAGCTTAGAAAATGTTTTTAATTAAAATAGTTATAATAAAATTAATATTAGATTTAGATTCTTCTTATTAAGAAGATTTTAATAAACTAAATTGTTATTATAATTGAATTACTAGAAATGAAAAAAATCAATTGTTTGGCGAAGGTATACTTTTGATGATATGAATTTTTGATGATCATTCCTGCATTTATTCACTTTTTCGCTTAATTTGTTCTTTGGTTGTACAGATCTACAGCAATCTCTATATATTTTGACTAATTTTGGTATTACACCTCGTGAACATCGAATTTGAAGTTTATATAGCTGTTTATAGCTATGCTACTATGTTATTAGCATCAAGAAAAGATTGCCGAAAAGCTTGTGCTATGTTACTTGTCCTTTTTTTAAATTTTTTCAAATTTTTTTTGACGATCATACTAATCAAAGAATTTCAGTTTATGGTTAGAGTAATATCTAAATATGGTTTAAACTTTTCCAGCGTTTTTATAATCATTATCTTAATGCTTAATGCTTTATGTTAGCGATCAGCTTTTTACGGATTAGAAAAAAAAAGAGAGACTAAAATGTTTACGGTAGTAAAAATCGTGATTTTTTTCGATTAGTGTGATTTATTTGTTTTTCAAAAAAAAAAAAATTCAATAGAAAAAAAAATCACGATTTGTATTAGTCGTTATACGTTTTCGTGTATTAAACCCTTTTAGAGAAAATATAATAAATTAGTTAATTTCGCCATTTTAGATAAATTACATTTTTTTTTGGTAATTAAAAATTGGTTTGGATTCTTCGTTTGGTTTAGCATAATTTTGCATATCTTTTCTTGAGGCTAATAATAAATAAATAAAATAAATAATGAAATTCTCCCATGATTTTTTTTTTAAAGTAAATAAATAATCATGAGAACTTAGTAAAATGAAAAATGCTTCTTATTGTTCGTGATTAAAAAAAATTTAGTTGTCGTGAAAAAAAAACTTTGTCGAATTTCATTTATGGATTCATTTGATTACCTTTTTAGTTATGTATATGAAATATTTAATTAGTTAATTATTTAATTATTAATTAATTAATCAAATATAATACGTTGTCATTTATTATCTTTTTTTAGTTAATTAATTAATTAGTACAGTGGTTAATTAACAATAGATGATTAAAAAAAAATTGTTTGTTATTATTCATTGTTGGTATAAGAAAAGCTTGTGAAAAAGTATCTGAATGAGGATCTTTTTAATTGTCAAAAAAAAAAAAAAAATCACTAAAACAAATAACAAACAATTGATTGATTATTAAAAAAAAATAAAGAAAAATATTAGATTAATCGTTCTCGTATTTAATTAATTAATTAAAAAAAAAAGTGTAAATAATTATATAAATGGAAAGATTTGAAAAAAACCATCTCCCCTTCTTTTTTCTAAACAAAAAATAATAAATAATAATAATAAATATACAAAAAATCAATTGTTAAGTCAAAAATATCATGCCCGCGAAAGTATCGTTAATTTGTCTTGTTCACTCAATTAACGAAAAAGACAGTACAAATTATGTAATTAGAGAAGCCATCATAATCGTTCGAAGGGAAGATAATACTTCAATGGAGTTAAAAGTTACTAGCTTCATTCCTAAAAGCTCAGCTGTACCTAGATGGATCCCATTATACAATCCAGAAAACATCGTAAGATTAACCGGAAAATTTACATTGGATAAAAAACCACCCCATGATCCTACTTTACAGGTAAAATCTTCTTGTTATTTGCTTTCACGAAAGGGTTTTCTTGTCACTTTCACTAAAAAAAGAAAACTTATTAATTAATTACTTTGAATAATAAATAAAAGGTTACAGCAAATGCTGATGACATTACTGGACTCTCCGTATTTATTACGGGTTTTATTACAAAAACCGTTAAGATAGATAACCTATTTAAAACAATTAAAATCACTGTCACCGAATATATTGGAAAAGGTAGCGCAGGAAATAACTTCATTATTACCTGTAGATACTTAAAATCAGATGAGAGGATTGACAAAAAAGTCATCAAGACCCGAAAAAACTCTAACCTTATGATTACCAGAGAATTAACCTTCGTAGATCCGGAATTCGTAGTGGAAATACAAGATATTAATTTCCTTCCCATGTCTATTGCGAACGTAGAAGTAGGCGGGTCTGCTTCATCCTTATATTCTTAGCCAGCATCAGGACAGTCATCAGGAAGAATTTCGGCCCAAGTCATGGCTAATACAAGTCTTTCAAATGATGAAGAGTAACAAATGAAGCTTAAAAAAATATATATTATAAATATAACTATCTTTCATCATTTATTTTTAAGTTTTGCCCTTTTTTTTCGTCTTTTTTCAAATATTTTAATAAATGATTTTTTGATTAATAAATATAAAAAAAATATATACATATATATTTTCTTTTTTGGCTCATAAATAAAAAGAGACAGAAAAAAATTATTATTATATAATAATAAAAAAAAAACAAATCAATAGTCACATAAATTATTATTAAGTTTAGATAAATAATAAATGTAACGAAAGATACCAGCTAATAATCAACTCTAATTTGCGCAGGCAGATAACAGAACATCTCATGTAACATATGACTAGTACAATAAAAATCCTTCACTTCGGTCCACACTAAAATAGATAAAGATCATTCTTTATAAAAAAAAAAAAAATAGACTAATTTATTTATTTATAAATAATTATAATAATTATATAGTGTTTGATAAAAAGAAAAAAAAACTACTAATAAATGCTATATAAAATTTATATAAATAAAAGAAAAAAAATTTAATAAAGACTTTAAATTTATAACTTGTAAATAAATAATAATAAATGAATGAACAATAACTTCCAAAGATAAAAACAATAAAACGAATGATAATTAAATCATTGAATAATTAATAAAAAAAAAAAAAAAAAAAAATTTTAGCTATTTCTTCGATTAAATAATAAACAATAAAAATAAATACTCAAATCCTATTAAACCCTCGATTATTACCATCTAAATAAATAAATATATATATATATACAATATTAATAAAAATATAACTCACTTCCTTAAGTACAACAAAAAACAAAAATAAAAAAATAAATACGTAACAATCACGAATTTTTACTGTTATCACATCAAAAAAAAAGAAAATAAATCTGATCGAAAATCCAAACAAAAATATCTCAGCATATATACAACGCATACTATACAGGTACACCATTCGAAAATGTAATTGATCCATTCTCACCTAACTTTAATAATCCAACAACCCAATTACAACAATCACAACAAATTACCAACGAATCACTTATAGGTACAAATTCTACTACCCATATTCTAACCCACGATACTGTATGTAGACTGAGTCAAACTTTTCAATGCATATATAACAAATTTTAAACTTCTATATTGAAAGAATACCCTGACGTCCCTTGCGTCTATTGTGGAAGGCTCCTATATAAAAATAAAGCTATGTGAATACATTACGATCAATCCCAAACATACCTCATTGAACAGATAAATCAAATCAACGTACTTACCCAATACGGAATATTAAAATGCCAGATTTCTAAGATACCTTCGTGCTCATCTTGCGCGAAGCCATGCATCAGATTCTAATTTCCCATATTAGCAAAAATACCCGACAAAACAAACGCAACACCTTTGCACCGTAGAAAGTTCCTGTCATCAGTTTACCTACATTACTCTCTTAGACGAAATCCAAATTCCAATACTTACACAGAATATCATAGTATCATAGGAACAATGAGTTACTCGATTAATTTTAAAGCATTATCACTATACTTCGGCATAATAGGTGCATACCTACAATCCTCCAACCCTAACTATACTCCAAATGACCAAATTTTTGACGATACCTTAAGACAAGCTTCTCATTGGTTAAGTTCATATAATCCTTACTTATGTAATTACACCAACATACTAAGCCAAAGGTCCTACGTTAAGGATGGCGGACCTATTTCCAACTGCCACACATATTCCCGATGACAATAATACACCACTGGATAATCCACGTGACATAATAGTACTGACCGCAAATCTACCAAGCGAAGTATACAACGAAGATTTTCATTCCTCACGACTAATAGCTGGATTTGTCCGCGATGATAATGATAATTCATTGCCTATTTCCATTTACGACCTGAATCTTGAACCACTCTTATTTTCCCACCTATTTTCAGATGGTAAAGGTCACTTTCACAATGTAAAGAAACGAACACAATCAAATGAAGACAGAACAGAAACTCTGGAAAATATTGAATTTAATCCTAATAGTAATAAATTAACATTAGTATCACTTTTAAAATACAATTGATGACTGAAATGATAGCAGTTAATATTATATTTTCTTTTATACCAAATATTATAATACTTACTTTAATGTCATAATGATGGTCAGGATATAATCTAATATTTGCATTATACATTCATTTTATCAAAATTTTGAAACATCTACATCCAAAAAAATAGTCAGTAATGAAAATATACAAATGGACATTAACTTCATATAAGGAAACAACTACCTTCTTCACAATTCAATTATATTTATATTCAAATAAATAAATAAAACTTCAGAATAGTGTTGATAAAGATTTTTCACTTGGAGCTGGATGAGCGTTAAAAGAAACCCAAAAATTTGGAAAAAAGGGTGGAGCACGAATAGCAAAAATATAGTTAGTTTATTGCAAGCTTTTTTCACGCAGGTAATGCTAATAGAAGTGACCGTTATTCTGCAAGTAACATGTAAATGAGCTAAATAATATGCCAATTTGGAGTTTGAAACAATACCAAGACTTGAAATTATTCAAAATTAGATTGCTAATATTTTGCAGCATGCAAATGTGAAATGGCTGATATTATTTTGCAGCGTGAAGAGCAAAGCCATATGGTAATTCTAGCTCATAAGACTATTGTTATAAGGTAATTTGTAAATAAATTTGTAAACAAAATTTGTAAAAAAAACGTATTAGGTAAATAAAATTGAAAAATAAACTTATAAACAAGATAATAGTAATATATAAACCAGTTTATAGTAGCAAATAACTTACTTGTAAAATCGAAATTGCTAGTAATCAATTATAATAACTTGCCGGAATCTGGCTGTCCTCTAAGGTAAACTATCAAATAAAACAATTTAAAGTGCGACTTTTTTTAAAGCGCTCGTGTTGTTTATCTATATTTATAATTTTTAGCCAGTTTTATTAGGTAAGACGGAAATGAGTGACCATTCGTGTAGTATATGACGTAAAAATAAGATGTGTATGATATACACCACACAATTCAAATGTTAATTACTCTATATATATATATAATAACGTTTGAAATGTGTAGTGTATATTATTTGTAATATATATTTATATTAATACATAATTGCTTTTTAATTATGTTTTAATTATGAATAAAAAAATTTAATTTTAAACAATATATGTCGAAATCCGTTGATCTTACCGGATTTCACCAGAGTTTATAATACTATATTAAGCACTGACTATAGAAAGGTATTTTAACGTATGAGAATTTTTTTCTCTTGCTTATATTTGAAATTGAAAAGTCATGATAAACAGTGTAGTTGTTTCACAAATCATACATAATACACTTCTTTTTTTTACGTCATACACTACACAAATGGTCGATCCTACACCACTAGTTTCCGTAGCACGCAGTTTTATTATTTTGTAAAAAGGTTTTCATACTCACTTATTTTTGCTAACTAATGATAACTTGCATATTTGATAATAAAATTTACCCGGAAATTGGGTAATGAAATTCTGCACGTGTTCAGCGAATTACGAATCAACTGTTTTTAGAAAAATTGGCTATATCGAAAATCAAATTTAGTTTAGCTTATTATATTCCTTTAATGAGGAGAATTCTACCTTACTACAATTTTTACAAAATTTTCAAAAGAACAAAAATGATGAACTAATATACAATGGAGGAATTAACGAAAATTACGAAATAGCTAATTAAATGAAACATTACCCTCGATTTTCGTAAGAACCCTTTCCAATGTTATGAATTTATCATTTAATTTAAGTACATATAGGATATTGAATCATTGAATTGGACATTATAATTTGTAAAAGTATTTACTGCGCCTACTTAGGAGAAAAATTACAAAAATGGCATAATTCAACGTCCACCTCCACTGCCACCGATCTGCTAAATTCAAAAAAAATAAAGATCGTTGCGCCCGCCAAAAAAGTCATACGAAAAATTTTAACTAAAGAAATTACCTAAAAAAAAAAAGAAAGTTATTTAATGTAAGGCTAGCAGTTAAACCCGTTGTTGTCTGGAAATGTACCATAACCGTATAACAATTCAATTAATACTTCAAATCAATTTGATATTCAATTACACGTGAATCGTATAACTCAAATGCGTTGATATCCGAAATACGCATTTGCAAGACCGTTTGGGATATGCAAATGCTCGCTTCGGATTTCCCAAAAGAACATTTCGGATAATATGGGACTGTTGCAATAGAAAGGGGAAACTGCCGGACTATTTAATATCGCGCCAAATAACGTGCATGTGATTAACGAAAACTGCGCCAACGAGACACGTGTTAACGATCACGATTTTCTCGGCGATCAAATGTGTTAAAAAGATTACATCTATAAATCTATGGGATTCTTAAATAAATCAAACCACCCAATGAACCATCAGTGAGAGCTGGACAATTCTGATAAAAATATTATTTAATTTCATAGAAATTATTTACCATTATACATCGACTTAAAAGCTCTAAGTACAGGAAATAAGAAAATGAGTAAAATGGAATTGATAAAAGTATTAAATAATATAACGTAATATGCTTATATACCCTGGACATTAAAAGTTGCGAATTTTTGAGTAAATTTGGAAAGTTGGGATAAAATTTTGGTTTATTTACCGTATGGATTTCGATAACATTTATTCCCGCGATACTATCCCAGATTTTATACAAGAAGATGGTGAATCCTTTTATCCGCCTTGTGCAAGTAAAGAGAAAAAATAACAAACGAAACTAATCAATCTTACCGTTATTGACACATCATCAATCAATCGAACGAGTATAATCCGAAAAATAGTAATAAGACATGTTGATTTTTTGCTCAGCTAGCTTCTAGAAGAACATCACCCGATGATAATCATTTTTTTTCCGCTTTAGGCTAGTTATCGATATAGTATCTAAGATAACAAGCTGTATTTGCAAATAAAACTGGAGTCATTATTATACGGCGGAGGATTAGTAAAAATTATATATGAATTTGTCAATGACGTTAACGTATTTTTTTAGAAATTAGACATTTTTGTTTTTGAACTCTTTTGGTATTTGTTAACAAGCTCGATTATATCAAAGATATGGTATATTTACTAATTTATTTTTAATTCCAATTTAGGGTTTTGACGCGATTTGGATTATTCCGAACGTAAAATAATTCTACGTTTTGATACAGCTGATGACCTCAAAGAAGCTTAAATCTCGCGAGAAAGACATTAAGGTTGATGTAACCTACACTTTTGATCATATCAATTTTTTTTTTGATTTTGAATTATAAATATATTTCTTTTTTTTTCTGATAGAAATCATATGGATCCACAGCTGGAAAAATTCCTAGAACCTATAATCCCATTGTGATGCATTCACTCAAAGTTGTGGAGAGTAATGTACTGTACAATCAATCAGTGAAATAGCGGATTTAATGTGGGCAATAGATATTGCTATAGAGTATCCCCTATTCAAAAATTACAACTTTATATTCTAATCCCAGTATTAATATGCATGAAATAGAAATGCCATAGAAAATCTTTTTATTGATATTAATGTATTTGGAAATTTCATGGTCAACTGGTAGGTGATGGATTCTTTTGAGGTGTAAATATCTTTAGAAAGTAAATTAATTCATTCATTAATTATTTTTAATTGTTGATTATAGTGATTAACCAGATAAAGTATTAATTCGTAATGCGTTGCGTTGACCTTTGTCATGTTAAGAGATGGTAAACACTCATTTTTTTAAGTCATTGTTTATTAGATAATTTTATTTAATATTATTTCTTAATTATTTAGGTATTCCAATAGTATATAAAGGAACTAAACAAGAATTTACAGGGCATCTATCGGGAAATGATCCATTTAATTATGAAGAACTTTGGCCATCATCTTACTCAAATCGTCTTCTCATATAAGCATTATTTGTAGCATTCTTTTCTTTACTATTTATCAAAATGAACATATTTATTTTTTAATAAAGACAAGGCATTAATCAACAACTTTCTATTATTGTAAAAATAATCAAAATAGATATGTAGTCATACAAGGAAATGGAATATGACCCGTTGGTGACGTTTTAGTTAATGTTAAGAAAAGGTTACTATTAATGGATCTCAAAATGTTTCAGTTCAAGTTGATGGTGAAGGATTTGAAATGACTTGATATATTTATAACATGACACGGTTAAAAGGACTATCTAATAATTATTCACTCTTGTTTATAAAATAATAAAGACTAAATGAAACTTTATAGATTATTTATGTCCAAATTTTAGTCATTTACATCTCGTGATCAATATTCTTCAAAGTTCAATTTTTCAACGTGAAGATGCTATGCATTTTAAAGCTGTATAATTTTTTATTTCAGTTAATACATTTCGCATTTAGAGAATTACATGTAAAAAAACTAGTTCCGGTATGGAAACTTTATTAGATTTTTGCAAAAATTGTAAATAACAAAAAACTGACATTATAAAACCTTTTTTTAGATAAAGTAAATACTATAGTTGTAGGAAAAATACTATAAATATGAACGTACAGGTACTAGGTACATATGATACCGTTATTTCTCAAGAAATCTGAATTAATAATTTATTTATTTGAATACTACATGTAATTATGCATTAAACCACTCAGGAATCTTTTTGCTTTAATGTTCATATTTAGTAAATTAAACTATGGCCTCATCCCAATAAATGATTCTAAATCAAATTTATAGAAATTTTAAGTCAATTGTAAAGTCAGGATGTTAAAAGGAAAAGCAAGCTTAGGCCATTGATTTTATTTGATAATAATATCATAAGATAAATACATATTGAAGAAACAAAGAAAACCTATTTAAAGCTAAACTAGCAGAAGTAATTTGATGCAAATTGAAAATAAGACAAGCGAACCCCCTTGCTTTGCAAATAATGTGAAATGAGAGAATACTTCATTTTATATTTTTGATCCTTAAGTTTAGAGAGTGAATTCATTAACCAGCAATGTATAACTATACTAAGGCCATTTGTATTTATATATATATAATTTTTATTGAAGAAAAGAAAGAGGAAATTATAAAAAAAAAATAAAATAAAATAAAAATAAAGGAAGTGAGCGTAATTCTAGAAGAGCTGATGCGTACAACAAATAAATTAGTCAAAATAATCATCAAAATGAAGGCGATACTCGTTTGATTTAAAAACATCCATTACCTCTTGATAATATTCAGCATTATTGTTGTATTTCAACTTCTAAATTGTCAGCAAGGACATAGTCCTAAAAGAGGCTAAGCGTACGACTTTCGTTAAACTTTACCTATATCATTAGATGAATTCATATAGAAGTGTGTAAATACATTTTGAAGAAAAACAAAAGAGAAGCTATCTAAAGCTAAACTAGCAGAAGCACTTCGACGCAAATTGGACATAGGACAAGCGAACCCATATTTTCTACTTGCTTTGCCAATAGTACGAAACGAGAGGATACTTCTTTCTATATTTTGGTCCTTAAGTTCAGGGAGTGAATTCACTGACCAGCAGATGTATCACTTTAACTAAGGCCATTTTCTTTTTATATTTATTTTTATATTTATTTTTTTTTTTTTAAATGAAAAAAAGAAAAAGGAAATTATAAAAAAAAAACAAAAGGAAGAGAGCGTAGTCCTAGACTACCTTTTGATAGTATCGGCATTTTCGCTGCGTTTCTCCTTCTAAATTATCAGTAAGTTCTTGTAAAATAACAATTTCGTGCTTTATAAGAAAAGATTAAACTTTTATTTGAAAATTTGCGACAAATATATATTGTTCGTGGGTAAATTTTGAAAAAAATGATTGGTTGGAATGTGACACAGTATTCCCCTACGAAGCCTCACGAAATTCACGTGACATTTTTTTAATCACGCCCTCCACTTTTTAAGTTGGAATTTTTTTTGTTACGAACTCTGCTAATCGTTATTTCCTTCAAAATTCATTGTGATCAGATTTAATTCTCTGTGCCGACGAGTTCCTTTAAATATTTTTTTAAAAAAAAATTCGTGAGAAATGATTTTGTAAAAATCAATTATTGCCTGTGTTCCAAAAAAAAAGCCAATCAATCATTTCAAAATCTTCATAACTTATTTATGTTCAAAAGCAAATAACAATTTAGAAATCACTTGAAATTTATTTCGAATTTGTAATGATTATTGGGAATCAATTATATTACATCCTATAAGCTTTTTAATTAATGATTGAATGAGCCCTCTTAACAAAATATTGATTAATTGAATCCATTTATATTTAAACAAAAGTTTTAAGCCAACTCGACCTTTTCCTTTATTAAATATTATTTATTAGTGGGCTTTTTTTTTTTTATCAATCACCTTTATTAAATCCGTGGATATGATATCTTATTCAATATTTCTTTTATTCATTTTATTTTAGTAGTTGTTGCAGCAACACTACTAAACAAGTTTATTAAGGTTCAGAAAACAGATTACGAAACAATACATCACACTCAAATTATTTAAAACCATATTCGAAGCAATTATTTTCTCGTGAATTGGATGTCTTTAGGTAAGTAATTTTTTTTTTTGCGAATTAGGACATTGCAAATTTTGGAATTTTTTTTTTTAAAATACCTGTATAATCATTTTTAACGGTTAAGCATCACGAACGACCATTCAGAGCCGAAGATGAAGATTAAAACATGTAATGTTCTGTTGATTTGGATATCATATTTGAACTTTTATGCAAATATACACATATTCATGTCAAAAATTCAAACCCATCCACATTTCTTTCATGTACGAAAATAGCCATCATCGTTGAAAAATTTCATAAATACGCATCAGATTAAAGCAGCTGTAGTCTAGTTGATATGCTTCCATTTATGGTCCTTTATTTCTAACTATTTGTTGGGATATAAAAAAAAAATAAAAGAGACATACATAGTTGTTGTATATTAATTGGAGTCCATTTTAGTCAGATTCGAAGAACGGCATAATATCAACTATTACGTATTTATTATGACGCTTCAGAATATAGTCGAATCTCCATCACTATCGCAAGAATTTTACAACACACGTTGATATAGAGATCGAAAGGATTAGAGATTATGTGTACGAATTTAAAAAAAATTAATTGGCTGATGCTTTCCATTTTTGTATTGAGGAAGGATTCTGCTATATACTTGAGTACATGATTCTTAATTTTATTATTTATTTTTTCATATTTAATAAAATATTTTATTAATTAATTATAGGTTTATGACGAGCTCTTTGCGTTAAATCGATGGCTTAACGGCATGAATTAAAGGGCATTAAATTTTATGGATAATTTGTTCGACATGCGTTCGTTATTAATTATTCATCAAGAGACACAGAAAAAAATTCTTTGGTCAGATTAATCATAAGCAATATTTCCAAAATCTCTTCTTGATAAAAAAAAAAAGTAACGAAAGGGCTTTTTGAAGAAAATGAAATATCAAAATATTTAACAATGCCAAAAGCTTTGGAAGTGGGAAAAGAAATGTACAAAAATTTCCAACTTGGTCAGATGTATTTGGTTATGCGATAGAACTCTTACAGCGGATAGAAATTGGATTCTATACCAATCCTTCTCTAGAAACTCAACTCTATAATGTTTCCAAAACTAACGAATGATTTTGTGGGCGCTCTTGCCAATATTCTCCGTGTGTGTGGTTATGAGATCCTAAATGGCAACACTCTCACACCCATTTTCCCTGATATGTCTAGTAGCGATGGTTCAGAGTTGGTCAGGTCTATTCGAGATAGCAAGAAGATTCTTGACCTTCAGAAGTGTATGGCCATACCTGCTACTTCTGTAGCAAGTGAACGTATTTTCAAATGCCAGATATCTCATTTCTCCTCTTAAATACTAATTTATAAATTGACGGCGACGAAGTTGACGCATATGGTATTAATCTTATATAATTATAATTCATATATAATACTATAAAAATAAAAAACTTTAATGAAAATAAAATAATATAATTTTTGGATCTAAAATTAAAATTAGTTTTAAGTATATGGGAAGTTTGCTAGGAAAATCAGGCTGAGAATTTTTCGACTAAAGTTAAGACCTTAATAACATCAAAAACTAAAATGCAATAAAAATCAAAATTTTGTTTAAAAAATTCACAGAACCTGATTTCCTAGCAATCTTCCTATATAATAAATCCTAATCAAATAGTTTAAGATTTTAATAATAAATTATAGCAAAATCCAAAAATATTTAGTAATACAATTTATATAAAAAAATTTTATTTTAATGAATAAAAACTGCGTCTATTATTAAAAATTATTTTATTTCAGTATTTATAAATAATATATTTTAATATTTTAATTTCTTAAGAAACTTTATCAATTTAAATATTTACTTACTAATTTCATCTCATATAATAATTAAATCCTCTATAAATTAAAATTTATAAATATGTTAAAATTAAATCTAATAATTTATAATTTATAAATATTAAATAACTATTAATACTTTTAATAATTTCTAAATTTTCAATATTATGATTTAAAATTTTGTTTAAATTCTTAGTAAAATTAAATAGCTAACTTATATAAAATAATTATAAATATGATTTAATAATAGCTTTACAAAAAAATATTATTATTTTATTTTTATTCTAAAGATTTATTTGATTTATAAAATTCTATAATATTATTTTTTAATTTTTTTTTATTAAAATTTTTTTATTATTATTATCCTAAATCACTAATAAATAATATAATATTTCTATAATTTAAAATAAAAATTATAATAAATAAATTTTTTTGATATAATTTATTAAGTTTATTAATAATATAAAATAATCTTTATAATTAAAATTTAACTGTTTTAAATTACTATATATTAAAATTTAGCTTATAAGTAAAAAAAAAATTTTTGGTAATTTTCTTTTTTTTATTGAAAAGTATCTATATAAAATACTATATCATATTTTAATATTTTTAAATTTATATAATAAATCTATTTTAGTATTTACTTTTTATTTTAAGTATTTATTTAAGTTTTTTGAAAAATTTATAAAATGTTTATTATTATTAATCAAATTAAAAAAATATTTTTTCTAAATAATAATTTAATTATCTGTATTTATTTATTATATTTTTATAAATAATATTTACTTAATTAAATAATATTAATAAATTTTAGAATTAATATAATTGATATTAAATAAATTTTAAGTATAATAATTAAAATAAAATAACAAACAATTTTTAATTTTAATATTAAATATTATTTAAAAAATAAATTAGTTAAATTAAATATAATAAAAGTATTAATAAATCTTGATAATTAATAATAATAATTTATCATTTAAATTATTAAATAAAAAATTAATTAAGTTTAAATTGCAGTAAAAAATATAATTAATTATTGATAATCAATAAAAACAATTTATCATATTTAGTAATATTTATAAATTTTAATTGATATTAAATTTAAAAGTATAGTTGAATACTAAAATCAAAAATAATAATTTATTTTTTAATATTAATATATATTTTAAATAAATAATTTATTTAAATTTATATTATATTAAAAAGTAAAAATTTTATTTTAATAATTAATAAAAATATCTTATTATTTATTATATAATTAATTTTTAATTATTTTGTTTAAAATATCATAAAAAGTATAAAGAATATTATTAATCAATAATAATACTTACAGTTATTAGTATATTTTTAAATAAAAAATTACTTAAAATTAAATTATAATAAAAGTATAACTTTGCTATTTACTATCATTAATATTTATTATCAGTATCATATGATAAGTTTTTATGTGATTATTTAAGATATTTTTGTATAAATTTTACAAAATAATATAATAATAATACATTTTATTACACTTTAATTATTAATAATTTATAATAGATTTCTAATATAACTATTATATTTATATTAATTATTTTCTTTATTTACTCTATATTATCATACTCATAGATATTATAACTTTTAATTAAATAAAACTTACAAGTTTTAGATACATCTTTCTTGGATTTCACTATGAAAGGTAAATTAACTACTATTAATAATTTATAATGCTTAGGAAAATATTCTTTTACCTTATAATATTCTGGATTAGCCACTTTAGAAAGATTATCTAAAAGTTTTTATTTCTTATTATAAATGTTTAAATTAGCAATAATTCTTATAATACATTTTATTCTAATCTAGGCTAATTAATTTCTAATCTTATATTATTATAATACTTTATAATAAATTTTATCAAAGTTCTAATCAATATTCTGCTATATTTTTTTTTATTATAAGTAGATGTAAAGTAGGCTTTTTGGCACAAAAAGCCCAAATGCGTCCAGAAGGTTTTCCTGGGTATCAAAAAATTATACTCATAGCATAATCCCTTTGTTTTTATACTTGTAACCTTAAAGAATTTATTTTGCTTTCTTGTTTGGTATTCGCTCTGTAAATGTTTGCTTCCTATATGTAAAAATAAATTTCCACTTTGGCACAATTAAGTCCAAAACCTTTTTGGTTTTCATCCTGAATAATGTAAGCTTTTCGCATATATTTTAATCAAATTGCCTCCTACTAGTATACTGCTTAGATAGTAAGAGAGAACAAGCATGAGGAAGAGCAGAGCGATAACAAATGCGCGTTCGATATAGAAGAATAAGTATGAGTAGGCAAAGCCCTTTAGAGTGACGACGCCTATGAATACGCATTTGACAGGAGGGGATAATAGCAAGAATATGAGCAAAGCCCTTTAGGGCGAAGCGAATATGGATGCTATTATCCCCGACCCATATGCTATCTTATTTAATG